CAGTCAGTGAGAGGTCAGTCAGTGAGAGCACAGACAGTCAGTGAGAGCACAGTCAGTCAGTGAGAGGACAGACAGTCAGTGAGAGCACAGACAGTCAATCAGTGAGAGCACAGACAGTGAGAGGACAGTCAGTCAGTGAGAGGACAGACAGTCAGTGAGAGCACAGACAGTCAATCAGTGAGAGCACAGTCAATCAGTGAGAGCACAGACAGTCAGTGAGAGCACAGTCAGTCAGTGAGAGCACAGTCAGTGAGAGCACAGTCAATCAGTGAGAGCACAGTCAGTGAGAGCACAGACAGTCAGTGAGAGCACAGTCAGTCAATCAGTGAGAGCACAGTCAGTCAGTCAGTGAGAGCACAGACAGTCAGTCAGTGAGAGCACAGTCAGTCAGTCAGTGAGAGCACAGTCAGTCAGTGAGAGCACAGTCAGTCAGTCAGTGAGAGCACAGTCAATCAGTGAGAGCACAGTCAGTCAGTGAGAGCACAGTCAGTCAGTCAGTGAGAGCACAGTCAGTCAATCAGTGAGAGCACAGTCAGTGAGAGCACAGTCAGTCAGTCAGTGAGAGCACAGTCAATCAGTGAGAGCACAGTCAGTCAGTGAGAGGACAGTCAATCAGTGAGAGCATAGTCAGTCAGTGAGAGCACAGTCAGTCAGTGAGAGCACAGTCAGTCAGTGAGAGCATAGTCAGTCAGTCAGTGAGAGCACAGTCAGTCAGTCAGTGAGAGCACAGTCAGTCAGTGAGAGCATAGTCAGTCAGTGAGAGCATAGTCAGTCAGTCAGTGAGAGCACAGTCAGTGAGAGCACAGTCAGTGAGAGCACAGTCAGTCAGTCAGTGAGAGCACAGTCAGTCAGTGAGAGCACAGACAGTGAGAGGTCAGTCAGTGAGAGCACAGTCAGTCAGTGAGAGCATAGTCAGTCAGTCAGTGAGAGCACAGACAGTCAGTGAGAGCATAGTCAGTCAGTGAGAGCACAGTCAGTCAGTGAGAGCACAGTCAGTCAGTGAGAGCACAGAGAGGTAGTGAGAGGAATATGGTGGAGAGTGGTTGGGAACGACTCCTAGTGTCAAACTCTGGATTCCATACATGCACACATGTGAAGCTACCCCCCCCCACACAGGATAACTGATTAGATTAAATTCTATGGTCTTAGCCGGGCGTTGGTGGCGCACGCCTTTAATCTCAGCCACTCAGGAGGCAGAGGCAGGTGGATCTCTGTGAGTTCGAGGCCAGCCTGGTCTACAAGAGCTAGATCTAGGACAGCCTCCAAAACCACAGAGAAACCCTGTCTAAAAAAATTAAAAAAAAGAAAATTCCGTGGTCTTTGCTGACAGCAGTGAATTGTTCCCTCACCAGGGCCAGGCTGTCCAGTCTTCCCTTGACATTTTGTTTCTTCCCTATGAAGGAGTGGGATTGAGTCTATCCTCTTGGTGCCTGGCTTAGTTTGCTTTCTGATGTTGGGATAAACACCACGACCCTAAGGAAGCAACTTGCGGAGGAGAGGGTTTATTTCATTTTGCAGCTTACAGCCCGTGGCGGAGAGATTAAGGCAGGACCTTGAAGACAGGCACTGAAGCAGCCACATTCAGCGACCTTTCTAATACAACCCAGGGAATGCCTGCCCAGGATAGCATAGCCTATAGTGAATTCAGCCCGCCTCCATCAATCCAGTCAGAAGATGCCCCCACAGACCTGCCCACCACCCAATCTGATCTAGGAATTCCTCCCATAAGGGTCCCCTCTTCCCAGGTGTTTCTAATTTGTGTTTTGTTGACAAAAACTAGCCACCAGAGCCTGCAACCTCCTGGATCTGTCCCCTTTCCATGTGAACTTTTTTCTCTGCTTGAGCTCTGGTCACACTGTCAAGTCTGATCATTTTCTTTTTTAATTTCCGAGTGTAATAAGTATGTTAGAGTATGGAATACGAAGATGAGTCACGTTTTATGTAGGTAGATGATGTCTCAATGAGCTTGTGCATTTTCAAAGCAAATGTTAAATGTTTAGTGGTAAGGGGTGGGACAGAAGGTCAAGGGTAACAGAAAACCACAATTACAGTTAATAAGTCTGGTCTACATCATCAAGGGAGCTCTTAAAATAAGCTAGGTCAATTACTGTTCTAGTTGTTTAAATGAAGCTGAGGTTGCCCATGGCATCCAGTAACCCTTGTTCCTAGATTGAGCAGTAAGATGTGGGTAATTTGTGTTTACGGACTGAGTCCAGTGTGCAGAGTATTATATAAAAAATGCAAAGTACTGGTCCTTATTGTCTCAGACTAACAATACTATGGTCTGGTGAAGACAAGCAAGAGTCCAGTGCAGTGGTTAACGGGAGTGTTCGTTTATTCTAATTGGTTGTTGCAACCAGAACCTCCTGGTGGGGGGGGGGGAAGGACTCAACACATTTAGGTGATGGCCAGTACAAGTGGTAGCCCTGTTCCTCTTCAAGGGACTTGTTGCTATAATTTCAGGCACTATCTTGTCTCCCAAGAGAACATGTGGTCTTGTTCTGTGTGAGACATCTAAGGCACTGGCATGTCATTCTCTACGTTTCTGGCTCCAGGAGTCTCTAGCATTCCTGCTTTCCCCCAGATGCTCGGCAAGTTGTGCATGAATAGCCTGTCTGTCCCTCAGTGGCTTCCAGCTTAGCCTGAGTATCCGAGAGTTACCAGCGTTTACTGAGCAAGCCCTGTGCGCAGCACTAGTACTATTTATGGAGCATGTTGAGCAGGGTCTCTTGACCTCAAAGGCACTTTCCATCCAGAAGGGAAATAGCACAGACACCCAGAAGCCCAGTCAGGACCACAGAGAAAAGTAGGAGATAAGCAAAGCAGTTTGTGTTCAGGGCTCTTTCTCTCCCTGCTTCTCTGTTGGGATTGGTGGCTTGAGTGACCAAGTAGCTGGCATCAGACCGTTTATAGGCATGCTCTATTTTGAGATGGAGGTTGTGGTTTGGGAAGGATATGTTATAATCATTTTTAACAAATGCTTATTGAGTGTGCACAGAGAACACCAAGAAATATGAAGCTCCCCCTCTTCTGGAAATGGGCTCACATTTGGGAAGGCTGGACATGTTGAGAGTGCATAGGTAGAATTGGATATGTCTTCCTAAGGAAAAGTACAGTTGTCAACCTTTGTAGAAGCACATACCGAGTTACTATGAAGTGGGGCCTAGGCTAGTGTCAGGAGAAAAGGAGGGACCTTCATTTTTGTTGTTCACACACACACACACACACACACACACACACACACACACACACACACACCATGTGATTTCTGTACGCTTAGCAGTCTTTTCAAATGGTAACAGTGCCTTTGTTGAATTATTTTATTAGTTTAACAAGTGATGAAGGATAGAAGATTAAACATTAACCTAGAATATCTCTGTGTGGTGAATTATAAATGACTTTATATCCTTTGTACATTTTCTGTGATGAACATATATTACTTTATAAATAGCAGATGGAAATATTTGGTTGAAAGCTATCCCACAGAGACAGATGGATGTTTTTATCTCTTTACATGGCTTCTGTAGTTTAGATGTACTACACCATCTTTCACTGCTTTGTCTCCCAACTCTCACTGCAGCTCTTGTAAGGGTTAGTAATAATCTCTTTTATTGTTAAAGAGCAAAACAAAGCCTTTTGTTCCTTGTCTCTGCCTCCCGTCATTTTAGCAGCTCGGTCTGGAAGCAGGACTCTGACCCCTAACTATTCAGCTGTACTGGGAAGACTGCTCAGCAAAACTTCAGTTTTGCCTATTGGGTTATAATTATGTCTGTCAGTGTGGGTTCTGATCTCTGTCTTAAAGAGCCCTAAGAATACTTCGCTGTGTCTTTATATTTAGTTCTGTTGCAGAAGCAATTAGACTTCCCCATCTCCCCATCTGGTGCAATGAAGATAACTCATTGCGTGGCTTACTTTGTATGAGAGAACTGAAGTTTCTAAGTCATGTGTGATTTGGATGAAGTAGCTAAATCCTGTCTGTCTCTCCCAAATTTTATTCTGGGAATCAGTGTCCCCTTGCAATTATGAACTTAATTATGAAGAAGAGTAATAAAGGATTGGATAGCCTATGAGAGAGCTCATCCCTGGGGGAAAACTGATTCTGCCTGATTTAGCAGCCACCAGTTGCCTGTAACTTCCTCTAGGGATGGGGCCATGTGAGACTTCTCCCATCCGTGTTGAAATTTCAATCATGTTGTCACTGTGAAGGTCTGTTTAGGTAAACTTTTGATAAGAAGGTGTAACTCCTTGTCATACACAGAAGATACTATCTCGTAGCAATTTTCCTGGTCCTCCGGCTCTTTCAGTCTTTCTACAATGTACCCTAAGCCTTAGGTGTAGAGGTTGTGTTGTAGATGTATCAATTGGGGTTGGACACTCCATGATCAGTTATTGAGCAACACTAAATGGATTCAGTAGGGGCACACACACACACACACACACACACACACACACACACACACACTCAGTGGCATCTTGCCTTGCCAGTGAACTTGTTGTAGTGGCCACACCCTTTGGGCATAGTTTCAGGTGCACATATGACCCCTTGGGGTAGAGGAGGAGGGAATGTGTGCTCTCTTGGGTTGCAGAGAGCATTGGAACAGCAGGGACTGCATCTTCTGGAGCAGGAAGACCACGGAGGTTATGTTCTCTTACCTGTGTAAGTCCTTCCCTAATAAATACTTATTTATCATTTATCTTGGTCTGGTGAACTCATTTAAACCCCCGCCTTCATACACACACACACACACACACACACACACACACACACACACACACACACACACACACGAGGTTGTGAAGTTGAGAAGGGAGTAAGAGAAAAAGGAGGAGTTGGAGAGGGAAGAGTATGAAATGGAAATTATATAAACAGAGTACTCGTGAACGGCACTCTCAAAATAACAATGTAAAAAATTAATAAAGGTCTGAATATTTGAGGAAAACAAGGACTGAAGGGAGTGGATGACATTTCTGAATGAATTTCGTTTCCTTTCCCCTAATAGCATGTCTTTGATGACCTCAGTGGCTCGGTGTCCTTGTCCTGGGTTGGAGACAGTACTGGGGTAAGTAATATTCTGAACTCTTTTAGTCTACCAAGATAAAGTAGTTTGGGGCAGGTGTACACTAAGTATTTTCTTCAACCTTAGTTACAGAGAATGTGTTTTCAGAACAAACTTTCAGGAAATTACAGTTGATTTGGCTTTGCTTTAGAATTAGGAACCAGTTGAAAGCAGTCTTAGGGCTACTGTTATCCTTCTTGATAAGGGCAGTGGGGAATAGGTATTAATTAATTAGTTAATTAATTAATGACTACATTAGTGCAAGGCACATGACAATAATACCAGAAAACTACGGAAGCACGGCTCTGGTTTTGGCAAGCAAGTTGTCAGGGTTAAGGAGACGCTCAAGGGTCCATAACAGGAAAACAGACACCTTTGTCTTTGGGTCCCTTAGCATCAAGACAAACAAGAAGAGGAAGCAGGGCGTGCTGTTGACTGAGAAGAACCTTTCAGGAAACCTCTGTGTAGAAGCAGAGAAGGGGGCGCTATGCATGTTGGCATTTTCCCTGCAGTCTGTTTTTCCCTGTCCTTTCCCATACTTGTATTGCAGGACTGTGGTGTCTATGGGCCCTTGCCAGCTCTGGCTGTCATCCCTGTCCTTAGAAAAAATAGGTATAGTGTTGGCGTCCCTGCCTGTAACCCAGCACGTGGAAGGTTGAGGAAGGAGGCTCTTGAATTCAAGGCAAGCCTGGGCTACATAGGAGACCCTATCTTAAAAAGAAAAAAAAAATGTACAGCTGGTCTCTGTGTGGAGGATGTGGGTGCGTGGACCTTAGGTCTTCAGTCAGGAATTGGCATAGCTGGCTCTGTTACCTTGCTTGATGAGAGCGAGGGTGGGAGCGGGGGCCCACATTAGTGTGAGAGGTACACCAGAAAACTACGGAAGCACAGCTCTGGTTCCGGAAGGCATTTGTCATGGCTGAAGAGATGCTCAGTGAGCAAAGGGCATGCTGTGTGAGCCTGATGATCCGGGCTTGGATCCCCTCACTTGTGGGGAACGCTGCAGGTGGGTTGGAGAGATGGCTCAGCAGGTAGGAGCACGGTGCTCTCGAAGGAGACCTGCTTCCTGCCCCTAGCACCCTCGCCAGCAGATTCACAACCGCCTGGGATCCCAGCTCCTGGAGGTCCAATGCCTCTGGCCTCTGAGGACATCTGTGCCCAAATACCCCTACGTAGACATACATGCACACATGATTTAAAGTGAACATTGAAGACAAACAACTAGATGTAGGAGCACACGCCTGTAATCCTACCACTGGTGAGGCAGAGGCAGGAGGACCCCAAGAATTCATTGGCCAAGTCATGTTGTCTAGTCGGGCAGTGCCAGGTCCAGTGAGGAAACGTGGAGAGCAATGGAAGAGGACACCCAGATTGACCTGTCGCCTCCACATATGTACATGTGCACACATACATGAACATGGACAGACACATAAAGCCTATACATACATACATACATTAGCAAAGCAAGTTGTCTCTTATAATTACCCTTTAAACTTCCAGGAGAATTCTCATGTGTCTTGGTTTTTCTCAATTTTGACTTAGGCCCCAATTTCTATGATTTATTCATTTAGCTAAGAAAGTTGGTTAAGTTTTTTGAGTTTAGGGTTTTGTTTGTTTGTTTGTTTGTTTTGAGGCACAGTCCCATGTAGACCTGCTAGCCTTAATTTTACAACGTGGCTTAAGTTGGCCTTGAATTTCTGATCCTACTGCCTCCACCCCCTAGTGCTGGGATTACAGCTGTGTGTACCACCATGCCTAACTAAGATTTCTTATTATGTGTATTTGAATACCCCTGACTCACCACTTCAAGTGTAGGCAATGGGATGAGATGGGGACCTCACAAGCCCTGTGCCTTGGTCCTTCCTGGTTTCAGATACGTTGCCTTACAGGCTTCTAGAAAGCAAGGCTGCCACCAGCCTTTGAAGTGCAGCCTGGCTTCGTCATCTCTCGGCATGTGGTTGCTGTGTCTTTCATTTCTTACTGACACAATGCTTTGTGCCTCTCCAGGTTATTCTCGTCCTGACTACTTTCCAAGTGCCACTGGTGATTGTGAGTTTTGGACAGTCCAAGTTGTATCGAAGGTGAGATGGATAACACATCTCAGGGACATTTGACCAAGTAGGGCACTGGGGTCAGAGGTTCCATCTTTTCTGGTCACAGTAGTTGTTCAACCGTTGACTTCATTCTTAAAATTCCAGCAGACTGGAATGCTCAGCCCACTTTTGTATGACTACTTAGCAACCTAAAGAAAATGAAAAGGAACGTAGTTTGAAGGAAATGGGGTTGACCTCCCAGAGGGTTGGAAAAATGCAAGTTTAAGGGTCAGTTTGCAAGCGAGTATGCCCATCTTAATCTCTTCATCCTTACTGGCAGCAAGGCGGTGTGGAGTTTCTGCATTTGTATGTTATGAATAGATTTGTTTATGTCTCTTCCAAGCAAGTCTTTATCTAATGTTTTGAAGTCTAAACAGGTTGTTTCTATATAAGACGGTAGGCAATCATTTCTGCATAAGAAAAGGCTGCTTATGTCACTACCTCAGTCTACCACGTTACTACAGTTCACACAGAACAAGGGTGGGAACCATGTCTATGACATCCGTATGTCTTCTGCAGCTTAAATAATAGGTCCTTTTCCTCAGCAGAATCCAGAGTAGTTAATGTTCCAAAATAAGTGATTATCGTCTTTATCATGTGTATCTATCCCATCTCCTCCTAAGGAACCTAAGTGAATCACAAAGTCCCAGCAGCCATTCGTAGAAACATCACCAGAGCCAGAAGGCCTCTGGGAGCCCTGCTCGGTTCTAAGCTTTCTTCATTGGACCATTCCACAGCTGGTCTTGGCCCAGGTGCAGGGAGCTGATATTGAAGTTCTGAAATGCATCAACCCAACCAACCCAGAGCATCAATCCCTCTCCCAGCAGCTGTGGTCTTTGACTGCCCAGGGGCCTGGAGCCAGAGATTTCTATTCAGCATGACAGTGTTGGCTTAAAACAAGCCAAGTAGTCCTTTAGACCAGGAAGGAGTCACACAATGGAAATGCCAAAAGCTCCACTAAGGTTGGACACTGCATTATCTGGAGACTCTAGGCTCTGGCCAAGTTGCTAACACATAGTAAGCAGGCATGTTAGATGAATGAATGAATGAATGCATGCATGCATGAATGAATGAATGAATGCCTTGACTTCTGTGAAGTTTTTATTCTGAGAATTTTGTTTGCTTCTTCCTTCCTTCCTTTTTTTTTTTTTTTTGGTTTTTTCTAGACAGGGTTTCTCTGTGTAGCTTTGGAGCCTATCCTGGCACTCACTCTGTAGTCCAGGCTGGCCTCGAACTCACAGAGATCCGCCTGCCTCTGCCTCTCCAGTGCTGGGATTAAAGGCATGTGCCACCAATGCCTGGTAGTTTACTTGTTTCTTATCGATTGGCGGTATCCGATACAGTGTGGGGGTTCAAAAGGTCTGCAACAGGTGCCTTTGTTTCTGCAGTTAGGGCAGTAGCTAAATACCTGCAGATAGATGAGAAGGCTCCTGTTGGGGAGGAAAAGCCATATTCAAAGCTTTGTGCATTGATTTAGTAGCCGTCTCTAGCATTCAAGAATCCTTGCTATAATGAAGTCTTTCCCAGTACGGCTTTCCTCCTCAGCGTATCTTTCATTGTAGACGTGATGTCATCGTAGTTTATTTACAGTTTATTATCTCGATTTTCCCCTTCAGGGCTATATCTATCCTGCCGCTGTATTGTCTTGGGAAGCAATATAGAAAAAGCAAAATGCTGCCAAGTTTTAGCTGGCAAGCGGGCTGGGGGTTGAATCTCCACAATGTCATTGCAAATAGAATAAACTTGAATAAGTCACGTGACCTCCTAATACCTTTCTGCTATCTGTTAAAGGAGGAGGATGACACTGCTCACCTCTGAGTCACTGTGAGGACTCTAATGCTTGGCGTGGAATGGGAGAGAGCTTGGTCTAGTGACCACAGGTGGCATGTCGCCAGCCCCTGGCACGGCTGCACCGTGGTAGTTGGAGTGAATGGAAAGGCTCCCATGATGCCTGGTGAAAAGCGCTTGTCTGCCCCCTGGTTCCTCCGTTCCTTCTGTTTACGCTGAAGCCCCTGCCAGCGGGCCAGTGCTGCTAAGCTCTGGCCTCACAGGCTCCACCTGTGTCCCTAGGTCTCCTAGACTAGCCGCCCTCACCCTTTGTCGGGCTGATAGCTTACTTAATCACTTCTCTGTCGGACAGTTAGTTAGAATGTAGCCAATTTTTCACTGAAACTAACATTTCTATGCTGCATTTCCCTATTTGTGCCACAGGAATGTTCATTTCCAGGGCATTCTTTAGTAGCAGTAATCTCTGATTATTGATGGCCTCAGATTTTGAAGACTCTCCCTTCAAAAGTCCCTTTCTATGTTGGGTTATCTTCCATACATAATGCTCCAGCCAGTTTTTCTTTTATGCCTTACGGACTTTTTTGTTTGTGTTTGTTTTGTTTACCACGCTGTTCTTGAATCATGGGGCTGGAATGGGAGCTGCTGAGTCCCAGCAGCGAAGGCAGTCCTTTTCCTTAATGTGCTTGAAGGCCACTCACTGTTTAAATACAGACCCAGGCCGACTCAAGCCTTCCACCTGATTGTCCCAAGAAACCCCTCTTTGGTAGCACCCCTTACTAGAGAGCAGTCCTGCCTGTTTGTGATCTGGTGTCGTGCTACCAAGGCTCCTTTTCTTCTTGGCACTGTCAACATTGCTGCCATGGCCTTTACCAGTCACTCTGAATATTCATTTTCTCTCCTTGCTGTGAAGTGAAATTTGATTCTGTCCACTCTCCCAGAGTTTAGGAGGAAACAGTAAATATGCCCTGTTGCCTCTCCCACTGGGCTGGGCTGGCCTGAAATGACTCTTGTTGAGCACACCAGTCAAAGGGCACCTGTTGCTTCAGAATGGAAAAGGGAGGGGCCGTTTACTCAGAAGGGGCTCTGAATATGTTTTGGTTGTCCAATCACACAATAAGAGCTGGCGGGATCCACTCCTCTGTTTCCAGGTTTTGATAACTATAGTTTATCAATCGCCTTGGCTCAGGAAAGCTTTATTTGGTATGCAAATTACAAGTAAATGTGTGCCTCCTGCTGGGTAGTTAGACATGAAGGTTCATGGAACATAAGGAAGTTGTCTCTTCTCTGCTGCCTCCATAGCGTTAGAGAAAGGATACCAGAGAAGGAATTCTTGAAGGGATAGGCAGATCATAAGTTATAAGAGCATGGAATCATCTCTCCAGTCTCATGTGCCATCATTTAAAAAAAATTGTTTTGTTAGTTCCTTGAGAACTGCTAACATTGTATTTTAATCATATTCACTCCGCTCCCCCCCCCTCCTTCCAGATCCATGATCCCATTCCATACCCACCCAACTTTGTGTCTTCATTTAAAAAAAAATTGTAGTCCACCTGGAACATACTTGGCCTACCCTTAAAGAAAATTAGCTTCCTCTCTTTCAGAAGCTCTCAGTTACCGGTGGCTTCTCCGCCAGGGGTGGGGCTCCATGACCACCACCCTCTCTGCTAGGGTGTTCTCTGGCTTGAGCTTTCGTAGGTACTGTGCATGTTGTCACTACTACTGTGAGCTCATATGTGCAACTGGCTTTCTCCTTCACATTCATTGCTGCTCTCGTCACAATAAGCAGGAAATGTCTATCAATGGATGAATAAAAGTGGTACATTTACATAATGGAGTAGTGTTCCGCTGCTAGGAAAAATAAAATTATTAAATGTGAAGGTAAATGGATAGAGATGAAAACAATTACTCTGAGGTAACCCAGACCCAGAAAAGTAAATGTTGCGTGTTTTCTCTCATGTGTGAGTGTTAGCTTTGAATCTTCAGATAGGTTTGTTTCACTGGAAATATCCACAGAAGTCAGGAAATTAGTAAGGGGGGGCAGTTCTTTAAAGGGAGGGGAGACAGAACACAGCAATACAAAGGGAAGTTGGAGCAGCAAGGGTTAAATGGGGTGTGTATAGGATGGGAGGTGGAAGAGGAAATGCAGGAAAGGATAACTAACACAAAAATCTTTTGGAAAAGTTATATGAAAACTACTACCACAGAAACTTCCTACATAGACTACCTAAAATCATAGCATAGTGTCATTTCTCTTGGCTACCCTCCAAAACTTTGAGTCATGAAACATGTTGAGACCAAACTGGTCTTGACCTGGAAGCTTCATTTCTACTAGGCAGCTTTTTTTTTTTTTTTTTTTTTTTTTTTTGGAGGCTGTCGGACCAGCCTAGCCTCAAATTCACAGAGATCCGCCTGCCTCTGCCTCCCGAGTGCTGGGATTAAAGGCGTGCGCCACCACCACCCGGCAACTACTAGGCAGCTTTTATAGTGCTGGAAAGTGCTATGCATTCTGCCAGAGGAGAAAAGTAATTATTAGTCTTATTCAGTGGTGAACCCTGCATGCTACAATAATGGCCAACCTTGTAAGATATGGCCACTGGTGCAATAGTGGCAGTAATGTCACAGGAGTAACCAACCAGTTTCTAATTGGATATGAAGCCCACTCCTAAAGATGGAGCCCACACCACACCTGCACTGTTATTGGGGCCAGGAACTTGCATGAAGAAAGGTTGTAGGCCTTAGGGAAGAACCTACTACTATTTATTAGTCAGCTAACTGGACACAGAATGAGTTACTATTAAACCCATAGATTAGAGCATCTCCCAGACGTCATCCGAGATGCTTCCTTTTGCAGTAGATGGCAACTAATACAGAGACCTACAACTGGCCAAAGTGCAAAGAATAAGAGATTGTGGATAGCTCAGCCCTAAATGGAACATCTGTGTTATGCCCCCTCTTCCCATGGTAAGGGATCATTGTGGAAGAGGGGGCAGAAAGACTGTAATAGCCAGAGGTGGTGGGCATCAAGGAAGCTGTTTTCTGTGCCAACCTTTGGATGATGGGCTCAGTTTAGTTTCCACCACAGTAGATGGTGAAAGAAGGATCTTGTGTTCATTGCCAACCTGGGCTGCATATAGGACACTGTCACAAGCAACAAACATCAACACATATGTATGGGAAGTTTCTTAAAATATATGACGGCA